ATCATAAATCACAACATTTTATTCTTTACAAATGCCTTTTTCAGGTAACAGTGGCATCCCAGTCCTTCCGTTTTCTCATAAAATCGTGATGACAAATGATTCATCCCAGGCCACACAACTGAAAAAATGGCCTAGTCAGAAACTGATACTGTGGGCTCTCACCCCCAGCAGATTTGTCTCTCGGGGCCTGAGGGGAATTGTACAGCAAAACCCCCAGCTCTAAACTCCTGCAGTTGAAAGCCTGGGATTCTGTTTAACAATACTGAAAAATCTTCAATCAGCACCAAAGTGGAAATCACGCACTAATTGGAGTTCAATGATGCAGATAATATGGATTGGAGTACGCTGGTTGACAGAAAACTCCCCAGCAGCTGAGGCGCTTTCTCTGCATTTCAGCACTAGCAGCAGAACCCCGAACAAAAAGGTAAGAGACGGAAGCTGTTGGGAAAATGGTGCTCCCCGTATCTGTGCATTTCATGTCTACCTGCAATCCAGACCCCTGAAGAACAAACTGTGGACAGACTTCAGCATCACTAACACTCAGAATCCTCTGTGAGTGAGAGGGACTGTGGACCAGCAGCCACTACTGAGCAGTGTCAAGGGTGTATCCTTAGCTTTGGAGAGAAAGTCATCACATTCCTCGCCATTGCTCTAAAAGTTAAATTTGGCTAAATGCTTTAAAATGTTCATGTTACTTAATAAGTAACCAGACAAATGAGGCAAACCTGATTTTGTCCTTCAATGTTCAGTCATTCCTTTAAAAGGAATGACTAAAACATAATGATACTCTTAAGGTGATCTCATTCTCTAAAAACATTCCTTTATATCATGTTTCTACATAAGCATCTCAACCATGTAGTTGTTAACTTCAAAATTAACTCAGTCATGCCATTTAATTCTATTTTCAAGTAACTAAGTCCTTTGTAACTCCATGGAAGGAAAATAAATACGAATCAACTTCATTATTTTTTTTCAGGAGAATTTGATATTTTCACGGTTTATGATTCACAGCAGTACTGAAATCCAAGAGTAAACTGTTTAACTAATTATGTCATTTAAATAATGATTCCAAATGATTCAATTCATGGAAAGTTGTTATGAGAAAATGAAAGAAAAGCAAAACAGGAGAAATTTCAAATTCAAAGTAAAATGTACAGGGTTCTTATTTTCAGTTTTAAAACATGCCGGGTTTTCACTGCCTCATTGGCCACACCATGAGTTTAAGGGAGTAACATCTCGATGATGAGGATGCCCCAGGGGACACCAATGAAGAAAGTTTGTGCAAACACTGTGAGACCAGCAGACCTGGAAGGAAATAAATAGCTCACCCTAACCTCCCACTTTACAGATGATGAAATTGAGGTCCAGACTTGGAAAGTGAGGACAACGTGGGTGGTCCAGTATTGACTAGGCAGAGGGAAAAGTTGGGTCAGGAGGGTGAGACATTCAGTAAGGAGAAGGAGGAAAAGCTCTCAGATTTGGTGAATAGAAAAAAAGGAGTTAAGTTAGCAAAGTTAGAAACGAGAGTACCTCCATGTATCCTTGTGGAGAGACAAAAAATAAATAAGTAAATAAATAAATAAATAAACTGTAGAAAGTTTTGTATTTTTGCATTAAGAAAGTGAGGTGAGCCAAGAACACAGTGGGCTTTTAGCCAAGTAGGGTTAAGTTTCCAGCATACTAGGCATGCTGCACTTATCATCATGTCCTGTAACAATGAGTTACATTATAATGAGGGAGAAAAAGCACATTAAAGCAAAGTTAAAGGTCACTGGAATGGAGCAACATTTGGCTTACTGAGCTCGCCGCACCTTAGGAGATAATCTGGGAAGGAGTTTGGGAGAGCTTTGTGCCAGGCACAGAATGAGATCACAAAAAGAAAAATATGATTTATGTATGAAAGGGTGGACTTAAGACTATGATACAAGAATGCTGTGGGTATCGTGGGTCCATAAGGACCTTCTTGTTCTGACTTAGTCATGGTAGTAGGCATTACTAGTGCTCAACAATGTCCAGTTCTCTGGCCTTTGCTGGGCACCCACAACCCCTGTCCACTTGCAGATAGCTGGGGCCATGTGATCTGTTCTGGCCTATGGATTGTGAATGCAAGAGTCTGTGCATGGGGAGGCTATGAACAGTGCATGCAACTCCTGAGCTGTCTCTTCCCCTTCTGAGGGGATCACAGCGCCAGGAGACATGGAATTAAAGAAGCATGAATTGCTGTGTCTCCACATCAAGGTAAACTATCCTTGAGAATCACCACACCTACAGTGGACATTGCAAGAGTGAAGACTAAACAAACAGTATATATTTAGTCACTGAGATTTGGGGTTTGTTTCTTACTACAGCAAACATGTCCCCTAGGTTGACTAATACAATCATCTCCTATGGTGGCATAGCCTGTACACTGTCTTGCTGATTCTCTGTGGTGGTATCATTGCCTGAAAGAAACTTTGGTCTGGGAAATTGCAGTTCATTCTCCTGCTGATCCACGTGAGGTGACTTGGGATTGTAGGAGGAAGGCTTGGACGCAGCAAGAGTGTGGTTGGGAGTGTACAGTCATCCTACGTTTTCTTTGTGAGGTCAGAGGAAAAGGTCATGATTTGCTGAAAACTGGAAAGTTCACGATGACTTGGGTGAAAGAAAAGACATTTTGAGAACCTTTAGAAACCTTTGAAATTTGCCACAATGGCAAGGGAAAGAGCAGGAGTCCAATGTTTATGCAGTATATGCACTGAAGGGAAGCCAACCTGGAAGACTGGGGGAGGAGAAACCAGGAGGACTCACATGAAAGCAAGAGTGATGGGTTCCTCAGACCTCCTTCCAACATGTCCAGTAGAGGGCGGGAGGAGAACCTTTCGAGTGAAAAACCCTGATGAACATTACCTCAGTGGGGGGGACCAAGGCCAACAACAAGGCTGAAAAGTCATGTTTATCGAGACTATGAGAATGAGGTCTTCCTCCCAATAACTCATAATCCCAGTGTTATCATGCGAAAATCCCTCAGACAAATTCAAGTAATAGGGCATGCTACAAAATACCTGGCCAGTATTCCTCTAAGCAGTCAAGGTCATTAAAACAAGGAAAGCCTCAGAGACTGTCAAACCCAAGAGATACCTAGCGAGACACAGCAACGGAAGGTAATGAGGCTTCCTGAATGGAGTCCTGGAACAGAATAGAAACATTAGGGTAAAACTGGGGAAATCAGAAGAAATTCTGGCTTTTACTTAATAGTGTATTGATATCAGCTCAGTAATTGTAACGAGGTAATCATACTAATGAAAAATGTTAATCGGAGGGGAAACTGGCTGTGGGAGGCTGAGAACTCCCCATACTGTCTTCTCAGTTTTTCTGTAAATCTAAAACTGTTCTCAAAACAAGGAAGTCTGTTAAAAACGAACAAATCAATAAAGGGCAAAAAATAAGAAGGCAATTTTACCTGAGATGGTATCTGATGAGTATGCCCCAATAATGACCCATCCTCAGTTTCTTTACCCTAGGCCCATTTTTCCTTTATGAAACCGATGCCGGAACTAAAGACATTTTGTGCTATGTTGTATGCTTAGATGATTTCACTTAAAAAAACGGGTTTATCTTTTCTGAAAAAGGTAACAAACTCATGTTACTTAATGAAAGTCAAGTGGATATTTTCTAAAAAGAGAAGGAGAAGGGAAAACAATTTTTGACTTAAAGAGGTAGATATTTGCATCTTCATTTTTTTTCACAAAGGAAACTGAGGCTTATAGAAGTTGAATAAAGCATCTGAAAGTTCTAGGTGTTGTAAACGGCAGAGCCAGGGGTCTTAGCCTAGGTGTCCCTGCCTTGAAGTTCCTCCCTTTTCCATTCTCTGTGCTGCACACTAAATGCCCTCACACAGACAACAGGTGGTTACATGTCATGTTTCCAGGCAAGGAGGGTGGTGGGTCTGGCCTGGGAAGTAACTGTTGGAGAGCCTGCTGTCCATGAGGAAGTGGGGTAGGCAATGAATAAATACATGACTTTCAGGGCTCAAAAGACAGAGCCATTCTCTCCATCCTTCAGCTGCCTGAGTAACCTGTGACCTGCCTTCACTCTTCTTGGTGTACTTTTCAGTCTCTAGGGTGGTTTTCCAAGTTTTATTTGTTAAAATGTGTTCAAGTGAACTCACATGTCCAACAAGCAAAACTAGAGGATCCCTAGTTGAAACGAGGCTGGGTATAGAACCTTATATCAGTCAGGGTCCTCCAGAGAAGCAGAGCCAGTAGGATATAGACAGATATATAGAAGAGGAGATTTGCGATGAGAATTAGATCATGTGATTGTGGAGGTTGCGAAGTCCCATGACGTGCCATCTGCAAGCTGGAGAACCAGGAAAGTTGGTGGTGTGATTCAGCTCAGTACAAAGGCCTGAGAACTGGCAGGGGAGGGCCCTCGTGTAAGTCCAGAGTCTGAAGGCCTGAGAACCAGGAACATCAATGTCCACGGATGGGAGAGGATGGATGTCCCAGCCCAAGAAGAGAGAGAGTGAGAGTTCACTCTTCCTCTGCCTTTTGGTTCTATCTGAGTCCTCAATAGATTGGATGGTGCCTTCCCACACTGGTGAGGGCAGAGCTTCCTTACTCAGTCCATTTATTTAAGTTCTAATTTCATCTGAAAACATCCTCAATGACACACCCAAAGTAATGATTTCCAGCTATCTGGGCATCCTTCAGTACAGTCAGATTGACACATAAAATTATCACAACCCCAAACTCTTAACTCCTCCTCTAGCCCTAACCCCACCATCCCTAGGTCTCCTAATACAATATTCTGTTAAGAACTACTGGTCTGTTACATTCCTGAAAATGTGGGAGCCATGTGGGGCTGCTAAAAAGAAGGGTGTGGAAGCTCACACTGAAATCCTTCAAGGTCCTGTACAAGGGGTCACCCTCATGACAGCCACAGGTGCAAAGGATTTCATAAATCTTTCAGGAAGGCAACATGTGGGTGACCAACAACCCAGGCTTTTTTCAGGATTCGAGTAGACTGAGTCTTTTATTGAGTACTGTCGAAAGAAAATGATTTAAGTGACTCAAGCAGAGGCTGGGTCTAAATAGAGTCTCTATTTAGAGACTAAATAAGTTCTAAAGACTCTATTCCACAGGGGCATATCAGGGAGAACCTGAAACTTCTCTGTTTAAGCAGAATCAAGGTTTTCAAAGGGTGGGGGTAGATTGAGTACATGTCCTTGCAGTTTTTGCATCAGGTGGCAATTTTCATCTTTAAGAAAACTTATGGTTGGTGATAGTTTGTTCCTGTTTTTGTATCTCTTGCTTTGGGTGTTTGGTGCAATCCCAATAACCTGTGAGAACTGTTTTGGCAAACGTTGAGGTTTATTGGTTAGTCAAAGTTTATGGTGAAAAGGAGGTAGAAAAAAAACAGAAAAGAAGAGAAAGAGGGCAAAGGTAGGAGGCAAGGGGAAAACAGGAACGCTGTATCTGTTTGAGCACTTTTATACCACTAAGTAGTTGACTTGCATTGGTGGAATGGAAAATGTGCATCTGTAAACACCAGATGGAAGATGCCCACAGTTTGCAAAGGAGCAAATCTACCTGGGGTGCAGAAGACACACCTCCCACACCTGTCTCACCCCAGAACTGTCTCAGTGAGTGAAATCATGGGGTGCAAGGTGATTCTGCTCTCTTCATGTTATTTTCTGGTTTTCCTCCTTCATCTTGTCCTTTTCCTCTCCTTTTCTCCTCCCTATACCTTTTCTTTCCTCCTTCTCCTTCTCCACTCCCTCTCCTGTTCTCCCTTCCTCTCTCTTCTTCTGCCCTTCCTTCCCCAACCCCTCCACCCTTTCTCTTGGACCTATGGTTAAATATGGGTTGTTAAATGAGCAATACAACTGCAGGTAATTGCTTTAGATCAGATCTCCCTAGCCATCTTGATATCAACTTCTGCATTTTTCATGTATATAGAAAAATAAAATGAAGTGTACTCACATCTCTTTGGCCTTCCCTTCCTTCCTCTGGCTGCCTCATTCCTCTCTTCCTTGCAGTACCTGTTGCCTGTTCCTTCTCTCAATCTGTCCGAGTTGCAACTGTCATCCTGCTGGGAACATGCCTTTGGAAATGAGAATCCTATGCTTGATCCAGTGGCCTCTCCTCATGTAACACTTGTAAAGCCTCCCTTCTTTGGAGCAGGCCACAGCAGCCCTGTATGAGTGCTACTCTCTACACCCCCCGGAAGAAAGCTTAAGGGAATGTAAGACTTAGAGGGTTCAGCGTGAGACCTCATCTTCTTATTTCATCCTACTCCAGACTCCAAAATACCTGTCAAACTGAGACTTGGAGATTATTCATATCTGGAAAGTGCTGCATTTGCTTCTGTTTTAATTGTTGGGATACCTGTCTTGCATGTTGTACAGAAAAGGGGGATAACTGCAAAAGAGAAGCTTCCACTACTGGTGCAATTAATTAAACGGTAGTAAATAATAATATGAGAAGTTGAATATGTGGCTGATTTTACAACTTTTAAAATAATGTGAGTGGTGGCAAAAAAGAAAAACAAAAATCTTCAACATCCCAAACCACAAATCACATTTTAGTTGAGGTTATTTTTCCCTACAAAATAAAAAAGATTTGGAAAAGAGCATTTAAACTACTTTCTTCCCCACAAAGGTTGAAATTCTCCCTCTTTAAATGATCCCTGGACAATTCACATGCCTAAGTTGGAGTTAACATTTCTACATGAAGACTTACTTTGATAATATAAATATTAATTTATATTTTAAAAAACACTGTATAGTTATCAGAGCAATTTCATAGACATGATCTCATTCTATCCCATTGCTGGATGATATTCTCTTTAATGTGCATTTCCAGAAGGTAAAAGGCTTGTCCAAAGTACCTCATCCAGAACGTTCCAAGCTATACCTTGATGTCCTAGCTCAGGGCTCAGCAAATGGCAGCCAAGGATTGAATCCAACCCACCATATACTTTTTGTCTGGAACAACATGTAAGAATGGGTTTTACTTTTTTGAATGATTGGAGAAAAGAAACTTTACAATACAGGAAAAATATTTACAATCCAAATTTCTGTGTCTGTAAGTGAAGTTTCCTTGGACAACCACGTTTGCATATCATCCATGGCTGCTTTGTTGCTACTAGGCAGTGTTGAGTAGTTGCGACGAGATGATATGGCCTGAAAAGCCCGAAATGTTTACTCCATAGTCCTTGATAGAGTTTGCCAACCCCTGTCCCAGATCAAGGGCTTGTTCCATTGCTCAAGAGCTGCCGTCCTAGAGGCCTAGCAGACCCATAGACAAAGGCAAAGCCCACAAGAGTCTTGTTAGTGAACCACGTAGAAGAGGCTTTGAAATTGGCCTGCAATAAAAGGTTAGCACTTTCTTGCTCAAGAGCACCCCTGTCCTTCTGAGTGGTGAACTGCAGAGTGGGATTGAGTATCCAGACTGGCAGGCGGCTCCCTTCTCCAGAGGGGCATGTGACAGTCCTAACAAGACCTTCGCTAAATGAAAGGGCAGAAGGGCAGTATTCTGTCTCCCCTCCTCCCTTTCTCCTTACCAGGAAAAAGGAGTTCATTAACTAATGAGCCATCCTTAGACACAAGAAGGACAAAATGCCCCAACTTAGAGGGCAAGGAGACAAATGTGGAAGGAAGCAAGCAAGCCCTCTGCTCTGGGTTTGTTTTTAATGCAGGTTATTTGATATACTATTCCGCTATCCCTATACCCCTTTCAACCTGTGGAAGGTCTTGTCTGCTGTGGTTGAGCATACAAGGGTCAATTGGATGAAGAAATCAAACATGCAGAAGGCTTCCTCTTCTCTCAGCAGACCATCTGATTCATTTTGACTCCCTATTTTTTTACTGCCACCCACAAAACATATGATCTTCCCTTTTCTGAGTACCTATTATATTTCACTCTATTTAGATTTAAACAGATGATCTTATGTAACTGTCTCCACGATCCCATGGGGTTTACTCAGAAAGGAACTGAAACCTGGATTATCTAACAGTTTTTCCCAGGCACTAAGCTGGTACCTGATCCCTATGATGCCAATATCTGGGCTTTTCCCGCCGAACCTCAAGAGCTCTACAAAGTCAAGTGCATCTCCAATCAAGAGCATGTTTGCTCCATGACCTCATGGGGTTTACTCAGAAGGGAACCGGGTCCTCATGACATCTTCACTGTAGAGGAGCATTCTCTCGGTTGCATTTCCTCAGAGCATCAACTCCTGGGACCTTACGAGAAATTCTTTAAAAAGGAAAAATTTTGAAAACTCTATTTGAGGAACAATAACATAAAAAAGGGTAATCAAGTTTCTTCGGCCAAGGACTTTTCAGAGCCTTTTACAGGCAGCATTTGCAGCCATCTTCCAAGTGAATTCTAGCAACCAGAAGGGAATCCGAATAACTGAAACACAAAGCTCTTCCCAAACTTGTGTTCTTAAGAATACTGGTTCTGAAACATGTGAAGTGTTCTGCAAAACAAACAAATGAATAAATAAAAAACTGAGCAAGATGGCATGCTGAGAGGATCGTTTACCTTGCCCAACATCTAGACCAGGGGAAACAGAACTAGACAAATAAAATAATTCCAATAATTAAATAAGGAAATAATGCATGTCTCCTAAAATATAGCACAGCACAGAACACATTTTTCATTTACTTTGTTTTCATGAAAAAATGATGCTTCCAAATACGTAAAATTGCATATTAACAGGCTATCTCTATGAGAGGAAGCCACACATTAAGAAGTATCTAATGGTAAAAATGCAGTCAATGTGTGAGCAGGGTAGAAGGGCCCCAGGCAGAGGGCCTCTCCAACCATTTACAATGCTTGGGGCTTACCAAGTGGGCCAAAAGTACAGGTTTCTCAAAAGGATGACTTTTATTCAGTTAGGGAATGTCTACAAGTAATCATATCCACCTGAAGACTCTTCGAGAGGTAGGAGAATATCAGGGTCAAGAGCATGACCCCTGGGGTCGTACTGCCTGGATTCCAGTCATTGCTCCACACTTAGCTTGAGCAAGTTAGCCAAAATACCTATGACTCAGTTTTCTCAGCTGTAAAATGCGAACCTCTAACCCACAGCCAAGGATTCAATGAATTATATGTTTAGTGTGCTTAGAACAGTGCTTGATATGAAGAAAATGCTATGTAAGTGTTACTGTTAGCATTCATTTTCTATTGTTTTTATTTGTTGATGTTATTGTCATTTAGGGGCTTATTGAATCTCCTACCCTCACAAGAACCAAGAGGTCATTATGCAACTTCTCTCTCCATATTTTTTTGTCTCTTTTTCTTTCTGCTCATTTGATCTTCTCTCCCTGTGGGCCTGTTTCATTTTATCGTGTACATGACTCATCACAGTTGTCTTAAAATGGAAGCCCAGGCCCTAGCACACATCCTCTGCTAGGTCAACACCCCTCAGACAGCAAATCAGAGGCCTACCACCCTGCACCCTCAGGATCCTTGTAAGAGATGGCATCTTCTGGTCCATAAAGTGACCCTTTCCACATCCCCAGGCAGCCCCAAGTCTCCAAAAAGAAACATACTTAGTGGGGTGAAAATAACAGCTATGTCTGCTGCCGTGTCCCTAGTCTAAGTTCACCCTGGACACCAGGTTGAGACAGCAGACATTAGCTAGACCCTGAGTCAACAATGGAGAGGAAATTCCCATTCCATCCAACTGTCTGGGCTTCCATTGACTCAGGACCTGGGGAAGACTCAGCACACGTAGCAGAATTTTACAGCAGACCGATGGGTATGCCTGGGGTGGTTGCAGTGGGCAATATGTACAAAAATAACTAGCACACGGAAGAATTTGCTTATTTCCATCTGTTTGCTCACTTGTTGAACAAATGTTTATTGAGTGACTTCTCAGTGTCATGCTAGGGAATATGCATTCTAAACATTTCATAAGTAGAACAAATAAACATTTTTAAAGAGATAAAAGATATTTTTATAATCTCATTAGTGATACTCTCAACCTAATCCTTTATGTGAGTAGTTCACTCATTTTGGAGATTCCTGAGTATAACAACAATACATATTGTTTATCTTATTCATATACTTTAAAATTATTATTATTTAATCAACATGCTACAATCTTCATACAAACCAATCACTAGAAATTGTCAATGACATTTACTATAGAATATTTAATTCATGTAGTAATAAAATAATATATGAAACATATTGATATGTATTTAATAATAATATTGAATACACAATACATATGAAAACCCACACATTCCCCATTAAGCTTAAGAAATTGAATAATACCAATTCCTCTGAAGCTCCCTGTATGTCCTCCCAGGTTGGATCGCCATCACTCTCCGAAGAGTAGACCATTCTCCTGAATTGGTGCGGGTCGTCCTCTTGTGTTTCTTCATAGGTTTTATTTCATGTGACTATATCTCTAAACAAGATATCATTTAGTTTTTTCTGTTCTGGAATTTCACATCAATGGAATCATATTGTATGTGTTTTTCCTAAATAGATGGATATTTTTTATCTATAGATATTTTATAGATATATACAGATATAATGCACATACCCGCATACATTATATATAATATATACATCTATATTGACAAATCTATATTGTATATATTATTCAGATATATATTTACATGAACATATATATATGTGAACATTGTCAACATTATATTTCTTTGTTTTAAGACAGAGTCTCGCTCTGTCCCGGGCTGGAGTGCAGTGGCGATATCTCGGCTCACTGCAACCTCTGCCTCCCAGGTTCAAGCAATTCTCCTGCCTCATCCTCCCAAGTAGCTGGGATTACAGGCATATGCCACCACGCTGGCTAATTGTTTGTATTTTTAGTACAGACGGGGTTTCACCATCTTGGCCAGGCTGGTCTTGAACTCCTGACCTTGTGATCTGCCCGCCTCAGCCTCCTAAAGTCCTAGGATTACAGGCATGAGCCACCACACCCAGCCAACATTATACTTTTAAAATTTATTCAGATAAATTTTAAAAGTATAATTCAGTTATTTTATTGCATAATAGTCCATGTATGACTACACCATGATTGATTGATTGATTCATTTATTCCCCTTAGACTCCTTTTAGAATTTTGCTATTAAAAATAATAAATCTATGAGAATCTTAGCCATGTCTCCCCAGCGGGTATGTGGATGGTTCTCCTGCACCTGGAAATGGAGTTCTGAGTCACGAGGAAGATGCATCTTTACATTGACCAGAGAACGTGTGATTTTCTTTTCTTTTTTTTTTTTTTTTTGACACAGTCTCACTCAGGCTGTAGAGCAATGGCACAATCTTGGCTCACTGCAACCTCTGCCTCTCGGGTTCAAGTGATTCTCCTGTCTCAGTCTCCCCAGTAGCTGGGATTACTGTCACGCACTACCATGCCTGGCTAATTTTGTGTGTTTAGTAGAGATAGGGTTTCACCATGTTGGCCAGGCTGGTCTCGAACTCCTGACCTCAAGTGATCTGCCCGCCTTGTCCTCCCAAAGTGCTGAGATTAGAGGTGTGAGTCACCATGCCCTGCCAACACGTGATTTTGTATAGTGATCGTACCACCCTACTCTGTCACCATCTCATGGTGATGTCATTTTCCATTTTGGTGAGTAAAAAATGGTATAGCATGATCTCATTTGGCATTTCTCTGATTGAATATCCTTTCATATGTTTATTGACCATTTGGATTTACTCTTTTGTGAATTGCCTATCCCTGTCTTTTGCTTATTTTTCTATTTTGTTTTCTATTTTCAGTGGGTTTTTTTGTATATATACAAATATATAGTTTTGTTTTGTGTATATACATAGTGACACATGTATACATACATATATGTATTAATATGTCACATATATAATAATTATCTCTCAGTTTATGGGTTTTCATGTTTTTATTTTTTATTGTGTTCTTTGATAAACAGAAATTTATATTTTAATGTAATCTAGTTTTTCTACTTTTTCCTTTATGGCTTGGCCTCGTTTGTCCTAAGAAATCCTTTACCACAGTGAAATTAAAACAACCACCACCACAAACACAGAAGTTATCCTATATTGTCTTCTAAAAGTTTTAAATTTCTTCTTTTCACATTTAATCCTTAAATCCATCTGACACTGGTTTTATGCATTGTGTGTGGGAGGGATCTGATTTCATTTTATTTCTCACAAGGATAACCAGTTAATTCTGCACCATGTGGTCCTTCGTTCATCCTTTCTTCCTAGATGTTTAATGCTACCAACCACATACAAAATTTCCATTTATGCATGGGTCTATTCCCAGGCTCTCTCTTCTTATTTCTTTGGCATATTAGCCTGTATCTGCACTGGTGCCATATTTATTTATTTATTTACTTACTTTTTTTTTTTTTTTTTTTTTTTTTGAGACAGAGTCTCGCTCTGTCACCCAGGCTGGAGTGCAGTGGCCGGATCTCAGCTCACTGCAAGCTCCGCCTCCCAGGTTTACACCATTCTCCTGCCTCAGCCTCCCGAGTAGCTGGGACTACAGGCGCCCGCCACCTCGCCCAGCTAGTTTTTTGTATTTTTTAGTAGAGACGGGGTTTCACCGGGTAGCCAGGATGGTCTCGATCTCCTGACCTCGTGATCCGCCCGTCTCGGCCTCCCAAAGTGCTGGGATTACAGGCTTGAGCCACCGCACCCGGCCGATTTATTTATTATACCTTTTCACGAAGCCTGGACACTGGTGGGGCAATCTCTTCCTCACCCTTTATTCTCTTCTGAGTGTCTTGGAAAGTCTTGCCTTTTGCTTTCCTATGTACATATTAGAATTAACTTGTTAAGTCCCCAGAAGAATTTGTTCTGAATTGATAGATTAATTTGAGAAGTGGTATATTTATGAAATTGAGTCTTCTCATGCAGGTATATGGTATATCTTATTTATTTATTTTCAGTGGGCATTTGGGTTATTTTTCGGTTTTTTTTGCTGCTAAAGAATATTGAATTTATTTAGGTTTCCTTAGATGTTTTTCAGCATGGTTTTACAACTTATACTTTTCTGCTATTATATGTGGTAACTTTTTTAAAAAGTAGGAAACATAACTATTGTTTGAGATCTTCATTGTAAACTATATTCTCACTGTGTTTTGTTGCCCTTCAGAGACAGTGAGATGGATGGGATAATTTTTCCCTTACCAAATAACTCTGGACTTCTAGACTGCTCTACTCTTCAAATCCTTGGATTTGCTTTCTATACTTTCTTGTCCTTTTCATTGCTGTTATGGTGTGAGGGAAGGACTCCTTTCCAATCCTGAGCTTAATGTGCTCCTGACTAACCATATGAAGCTTATTAAAATCATAGGAAAATCACCATAAATACATTCTGTGACATTTATTTAAACTGCCCACAACCCTATTATTTAAGTTCCTTCAAGATTCTCAAATAATGGAACTTGCAAAGAAAATCATGTCTGCATAAGTAAGCTATTATTTCGCTAATTAATAGTTATTTGTATCTAGTTTAAA